AACCAGAATTTAAACATCCTTTGTACCTCAGCACAAATGGTCTCGAAGCTCCTGCGACTTCAGGGGTTTTTAATCCACATGAGCAGAATGTTCCCATCAGCAGCTTCCACAGAAGCAGCCTTGACCTGCAGATCTTGTCTGCACAGATCTCGTCTGCCCTGCCCCAGTTACAAACATCAGTAACATCTACAGGCAAACCCAGTTGCTGTTGGTTTTCAACTGTAAGAAATTAAAAGGAAAAAAAAAATCATCTGGAACCACAATTAATCTGTCTTTTGTCACTCACTGGATTTGGAGCAGGTTCCTGATAAATGATGCACGGGAAGTGCATGAAAACAGGAGGAAATCTGATTTCACTGCCTGTGTGATGTAATGCAGCCCCGAAAAGAAGTGATGCTTTTACACAGGTGTGTGCACATGTCTGGAGTGTGTGAAGCCTCCCTTAGTTCCACAGTTATTCTGAAATGTTGTACCCAACTGTTGATTTTTATCTGATGTTGCTCATTTGAGCCTAAATGTTTGCAAGATAAAGCAGAGCACAGGAAACAAGAAGTTTAAAAGTTTAAGAATAACAAGAACAACCACTGACAAAATTGCAGAAGAAATATTTTTTATTTTTATAGATTTTTTTTTTTTTATTAAATCTTAGCCGGTAGTTATGTTGATCCTAAGTACCTCTTTGTGCCTTTTGAAGCCCAGGTACAGCAGACTAGTGCTATCAGAACTAGTTTCTATTCCAAACAGAGTGAAGAACTTGGGGTTTTATCCCAAAGAGACAGGACCCCGAGGGTTTAGCGGGTTCTATCACCCAGCTGGTCCCGGTATCTCCACAGGTCATTTTTGCCCTGTGGCGAATTTCATGCACCTGACCAGCAACACTGCGGCAGGTTTGAAGTGGATTCGGAACTCTATTTATATTATCCAGCATTTATTTATTTATTATTTGCTTACTTTTATTATTTGTTATGCTATTTGAACCCCATGAACTACGGACTGCTGGGAGCAAAGCTAGATTTCTATCCCAAAGAGACCAAAAGCCTCGTTTATCTGGGATAAAACCCCCTAGGTTTTTAGTGCATTTGGGACAGAAGACTAAACCCTGTGTGTTGGGTCTCACAGGTGGCACAGCTGGAACCAGGTGGCAGCGTCTCCACAGGTGCTTTTGGCGCCGGTGCAGCCGTGCGGGGACTTTGCCACAGCCGCCCCCCGCGCTCGGGGCTGGTTTGCGAAGGGCTCGGGCAGTCCCTTTGTGTGTGTGAGCAGCAGTTGTGGCCCCTTTCTCTGTGTGTGCCGCCCAGGGCCGCAGCGGGGCTGGCGGGAGCCGCTGTGCCCTCAGCGCCCT